CAACGACGTACGGCCGCAAAGAAAAAAAAAAAAAAAAAAAAAAAAAAAGGAAAAGCAAATAACGCAATAACTTTAACAACGCCATTTTTTATTACGGCTTAGCAATAGCGTTTAACGTTTTTAAACCGGAAATTAAAAACGTTGCTTTTAAAGCAAGCTTAATAAATAAAAGCTAGCAAGCCTTTTTAATACGTATTTGTTTAATTAACAAACGGCGATTAAAAAAAATAATTTTAATTATTGCCCAATTTACGAAATAATTGCAATTGCCGTAACGAAAATATCGAAGCGCAATAACTTTTAAAAAAATAAGCGGTTGCATTAAAACGAATTACAATAAATTCCAAAATTTTAGCGAAAGCTTAATACGCACCCGCATAAAAAAAAATTTAAACAATTTGCTTTTAAAAAAATTAACAAGTTATTAAAAAAAAATTTAAAAAAAATTCCGAAAAATTTATTTAATAATAAAGCTATTAATATTGCTTGGGTATTTATTTACAAATTTAACGAAAACGGTTACGTTACGAATTATAAATTTCGCGCGGTAATTAAAAGTAATTAATAACTTAACGGTTTGGAAAAAATTTACGCTATTACGCTTGCAGCTAAAAGCTTTAAAATTATAATGGCAATTATAATTTATTTCGATTTCGAAACGCATTAAATTAACGTTAACAAAGCTTTTTTTTACGCAAAAATTAGCAATAACCATATACCCGTTTACGTAAAATTCCTTTTTAGGTATTACCGAAAAAGGTTCGTAACCCGGTTTAAAAAAGCTTTGTACGGGTTACGAAATTTACCGAAATTGTAATACTTAGCCTTTAAAAAAACCCTTAAAAATTAAAGCTTACCCTGTTAACGGAAAAGCCTTGTTTATTTATAAGCATAAAACGTAAAATTTTCTTTTTTTTGTACGTTAATAACATAATTATCCTTAACCGTGCTACGCATTTAAAAATGGCAGCGAAAATGTTAAACGGTTTTAAAAAAAAATACAAAATAAAAAAAACCCATTTAAAATTTTCCTTAAAATCCAAATCGTAAAGGACAAAAAAGTACAAATAATAACTTTGCATTATAACTTTTACGTCGATAAAATCGTTAATACTTTTAACTTTGGGAATAAAAGCGTAAAGCGTTTCTTTTTACCCAGCCAAACGTTTAAAAAAAATTCGGGAGTAACGATACCCGCCGAAATTTTGGCCGTGCAAAAAAAAGTTGGGTTTATACTTTATACGGCCATTACCATCCGCCCAAATATCGCTTTTGCAAGCGCAAAACTTTCCAAATACCTTACAAACCTAAGTAAAAAGCATTTAAAAGCGGCAAACCATACCCTTTTGTATTTAAAAAAGTTAAAATTTTATTGCATCCAGCTAAAAAACGTTCCAAAGTTTAACCATTTGCTTTTTGCTTTAAACGCTTTTTTCGCTAACGATAAAAAAACGAAAAAATTGTTTAAAAAATACGTTATATTTTTATTTAAAAAGCCCCTAGCGTAAAAAGCAAAAAAACAAGCTACCATTACAATGTTTACTATAAAAGCAAAGCTTTTAGCGCTTATAAAGTTCGGAAAAAAAATTATCGCTATACAAAAGCTTTTCCGAAATTTGCGCTTAAAAATTAATACTTTTTAAAAGCTTTGCTATAACAATATACAAACGATCCAATTAGTAATTAAAAAGGGCACCCGCATTAATACGGCTTTAAAGCACGTAAATATTATAAACATATAATTACGCTAAAAGTACCAAAAAAAAACGTTTAACGTAATGTATTTTAAAACCGCTTTTATGCTAGCAAACGGGCTTACCAAAAACTTCCCGCTTTACAAATTTAAAACATTTAAAGCTGCTTTAAAATTGTACGATTCCTTTAAAAACGGGTTGGCAAGCTTAATACGCAGCCAAAAACTTTAAAACAAATATTAAAAGCGTGTAACGTTTGCATAAAAGCATAACGCAAATTTTTTTTTTTATTAATAAGCATAAAGCATGCCGGTTTTAAACAACAAAACGGCATTTAATTATAACGCGTGTAACTTTTAAAAGCGTTGCACCTTTTTTTTGTTCATTTTTTTTTTCCATTTTAGCTTTAGCCCTTACCTATTATTTAATGGATAAAAGCATTTCCATAAAAGGAATAACCCCAAATTATTGCGGCTTTAATGCTACTTTTTTAACCTTTTTCGTTATTATTACCATTTTTTTTTTGGGGTTGGGCTACGAAAAGCAGGATTATTTTAACGGAAAGCCTTTTTATTCCTTTTTTTGGCTTTATCCTTTTGCTTGCTGCCCGGTTTCGGGTAAGGTTCGAAAAAATAACTTACCACTTTTTTAAACTTTTTAATTTTAAAGCGAAAGTTACCTAAAAGCTTTTTTTGGAATAAAGCAATTGCAATACGCAATTAAGGCAAAAAAAGAAAGGGGTTGCAATAATAATTACTTTAAGCACATTAAATATACCGTAAAGTACGACCATTTCGAAAGGAACGCGCTATGGGCTTATTATTGCAAAAGCCCCGAAACTTTGTTAAGGAATTTTTAATGCACCCATCGCATAAAACCGCGCAAAAAATGGTATTATCGGGAAAGCCAATTAAAACGTTTCCGTTAAAAAAAAATTAACGGTTTCGTTAAAAAGAAAGGCCAAATAGCATTTTTTTTAAGGATTAAAACGGAAAAAAAGGGGTGGTTAGCATAAAACCCGCGAAAACGGCTAAAAACGAATTAATTTAGCTATTTACCCTCGTTTTTTTATTTGCTTTGCGTTTCCGGGTATCGGGGGAAACGACGGGCTTATCGTTATTATCGTTATTTTTTTAAATAAACCGATTAACGAATTTATCGAAATTAAAATTAATTTTAATCGTTTAACAAATAAGCTAATCGGGCCCAAAGCTTTTATTTAATTTAATTAAAGCTTAAAAAGTACCGGTTGGGTTGGGTTAAGGATTAAAACGAAGGGTGCGAAAAATAACAAAAATAACCAAAAATTTAAAAACGGTTACGGCAATATTAATTGGGGTTTAAATTAAAAAACGGCGCAAAGCTTCCATTCGTTTAGCATAACGAACCCAATTAATTTTAACCCGCTTAGCGCTTTCGGCAAACGCACGCGCTTTTATCGCTTTAATTGTTTGAGCGTTATTTTAAACCTTTTTGCGGGCAGTTTATTGCTTTCGCGCGTTTTTTATATCCCGTTGCTTATCCTTTTTCGCGGGGGATTTATTTTTTTTTACTTATCCTTTTTGGTTTGTTAGGTTTTTTCCTTTTTTTAAATAATGCTTTTTCCGTTTGCTTAATTTTAATTATTAAAATAGCCATAACCGCTTGCAAATCCGCATTATATAAGCACAAAACGAAATTAACAAAAAAGCAATAAATTGGTAAAAAAGCAAAAAGCTACAATTTATTTTTTTAGGCTTAAACCCGGTTAAATTTTTCGCGTTTAACGCGCTTTTAAACGGTTGCACGCGTTGCTTTATTACCGGCAATACCCATTTTTTAGCCAATTTGTTAGCACCGCATAACGTTTTTAAAACATTACGCCGCCGCGTAAAGCATTTACGATTGCTTGCTTTTATTTTTGCAAAAATTTTTGTATTAACAAAAATTTAAACGATAAAAACGAAAGCGTAAGGATTTACGAATTGGTAAAAAAATGGTAATAAAAAGGAAAAAAAAAAGGCCGGAACGAAATAAAAAAAAAAAGGTTTTAATTGTTACGCTTACTTTTTTCCGGTAATGGCTAAAGCATTTATTTCGTTACTTTTTATAATTAAAGCATTTGTTTCGTTGCTTTTAGCAACGGGGAACGCTTGCTTTGTTACTTTTCGAAATTAATGCGCTTTTACGGTTACCCTTTAAAAGCGGGAAACGCTTGCTTTATTACTTTTTAAAGCTAATGCGCTTTTATAATTAACCTTTAAAAGCGCGGTAAGCTTTTAAATCCTACGCTATTAATATAGCAACTAATTTCCCTTTGTTTTATTTACAAACAACCTAAAAGGCTCGCTTAAGGAGTGTATTACAAAGTAAATAGTATATATTGTTATAAAAAAGCTTTAAGCATAAATATTAAATGCTTAAAGCATTGGAAAAGCGGTTCCTTTGCTTGGAAGCGTATAACGCTTCCAAGCGTTAAAAAGGAAGCTTAATAAGCAAGGAGGACAGGGAATTACGTATATATAAAGGGCAAAGGCCCTTACGGGACCCTGCACTTCAAATCCTTTTTTCCTTAAAGCATATTAACCGGAATAGCCTTACACCGTGCCTATCCCTTTTACTTGCAACATTTTTTAATCCCGTAATTCGATGCGTTGGTTTCGATTTTAAACGGTTTATCGGGGTTCGGAATAACCAATATTGGTTTCCGTAAAATAGCGCTTTTAAATTGCTCGAAAGCAATTTGTTTTCGTGCTTTTTAATGGAATTAAATATTGTTTTTGGTAAAATTTGTAAATGGCGTAGCGTTGCCATTAAACTTTTGCATAAACCGTTAATAAAAGTTAAAAAACCCTAAAAACGCCCGTACTTTTCGTACGTTAGTAAGCGCTGGCTAATTGGCTATTTCCTATACTTTGGCTAGGTTTATTTTAACCTTTTTTAGCGTAATAACAAACCCAAAAAAACCATTTCCTGGGCGTGCCATACGCATTTGTCCGGGTTAATTAAAAACTTTCCGTTTTGTAATTTTTGCAACATTTGGTGCATATATTGCTTGTATTTTTCCAACGTTTTTAAATATATTAAAATATCGTTTAAATACGTTAAAACGAAAATGTCGAAATGCTTTCGAAATACGTGGTTAATTATTTGTTGGAAAGTAGTTAACGCGTTGGTAAGTTCGAAGGTTATAACTAATAATTCGTACACGCCAAACCGTATTTGGAAAGCGGTTATCCATTTTTATCCTTTTTTAATTCGAAGCAATTTATATGCTTTTTAAAGGTTTAAAGCCGTAAAATACCTGGCTTTGTATTAAGAGCACGGGCGAAACCGCCCGGCAAAAAGCGGGGAGCGTTAAATGCACGGGCAAAACCGCCCGGTAAAAAAGGAAAAAGGGGGCGCTAACAGCCAGCCGGGCACGAACCCCCCGGGAACATGCCGGCAAATTACCGGTATCGCGGCCAAAGCATAATGGCGAAATTAAAAAATAGGGTAAAGCTTAAATTGTACGAAAGCGCTTAAAGCGCGGAAAATTTAAAAAATTAACCCCAAATGCCCAAAAGGGTACGAAAAAAAGGAAAGTTAAAAAAGGAACAATTTTTATAAACGATAGCACTTTTAGTAAAAAATTTACGAAAGCTTAACAAAAAAAACACCGTATTCGGCCCGTAACCCGGTAACCACCCGCTTTTGCACCGATTAACCCTTAATATATTATTCCTTTTTTTACACCTTTTTTATTTAAGGAATAAGCCCGGGTAATTACCGGAAAAGATTAAGCAAATTTAAAAAAAGCATTTGCGATTTCGCACCGCCCATAATAACGTTTAACGTTACGTCGAGCACGTTGGAAAAGGCCGTTAAACTACCGGAACAAAATATTAAAAAAACCCCGCAAATTTTTAACGATTTCGAAAACCTTTTCGTAAAAAAATTGCAAAAAATAAATAACGCGCTAAAAGCCCAAAACAAACGCGCCCGCTTAATTTAAAAAATCCAAAACAAAAGGTTAAAATATGCGCATAAAGGCTTAAACGAAAATAAAAAAAATATTTTTAAACGACGAAAAGGTTTTACGTAAAATAAAATTATTTTTAAGCTTTTTATATTTAAAAAATCGGCAATTTGGCAAAATATCGCCCATTATATTAACAATTACAAATTTATTTTCGAAAACGAAAAGGAACGTTACGGTAAGGACCTTATAAAAGTTTAAATAGCCTTTAGCATTTTTAACCATTGTTAACGGGCACAATAAACAAAATATAAATAAATGCATTATTTAAATACCGGGGTATTGCTTATTTAGGCCGATTTTTTGCGGTAATTTTAAATAAAATCGAAAAACCCCAATTTGCGGATATAGCTAGCAATTAAAAAGTTTGCGGGGGATATCGCTATTAAACAAAAAAATTACAAATCGTTCGAAACGTTCCGGATTTGTTAGGATTTGGTAAAAAACGACCTTTCCAAATTAGCACCCGAATGGATAAAAACGATATTGCTTTTTAACCGGTTCCGCCCCGAAATTTAAAAACGGGTAATATTTAAAAGCCTTTTTTATACCATAAAAAAATTGCAAGCCAAAGCTTTTAAAATAAAAATAATATCGGAACCGTATAAAAGGACCCCGGGGGATATAAATGTTTTAGCCTTTAAAAAGCCGGTTATTTGCTTTAAGTACGGGCAGTTAAATTATATTGCTATAGCATGCAAAATACGAACGGACAATTCGAAAACCTTATTGGCTTTAGCGACCATACAAAAAGCGAAGGGGAAAAGGCCCGAAGTACGGTGTTACGGGTATAAAGAGCTGGGCTATATCCGGCCGGCGTGCTTTAAAAAAAGCAAAATATCGCTATCCAATTCGATACCGTTGTTTGGCCGTTTAAGCACCGGGGCTTAAAAGTGCGCCCTAGCGGTTAAAACGCGCTGGGAAATCGAAATGTATTTACGAATTAACGGTTGCCGGGTAAAATTAAAAGCGCTAGTTAACAATAAAAACGACGTTAACTTATTGCACAACCGTTTTTTAGTAAAAACAAAAAAGATACCGGTGCCAAATGGGGGCCATTTGGCGTGGTTTAATACCAAAAAACGCATGCTTACGCTAAGGGTAAAAAAATACAAAATTTGGGTAACGGATAGTTAGGGAATAACCCGAAAGTTAATGGTATTTTACGTAATGGTGCCCCGGGCCGGGTATAACATTACGTTGGGCATGCTTTGGTTTTAACAAAAAAACATTAAAATCCGGTTTAAAAATATAAAATGGAAATTTCCGGTAACCATTAAAAAGGTTAAAATAATTTCGTTGGAAATAGCTAAAAAATTAATCCAATTGGGATAAGCGATAGCCGTATTAACGGTTGCACGCCCGGAAACCCCGAAAAACCCCGGGAAAAGGCTAAAAGCTTTCCCGGAATAAATTAAAAGGATAATTGCAAAATATGCGCAATTTTATAAATTAAACCTTTTGCTAAAATATATAAGCTAAAATTACGCGATTAAATTAAAAAAAAGAACGATGCCGTTTTACGGAAGCATTTATCCTTTATTCGAAAAAAAATTAAAAACCTTTTAAAGGTATTTCGACGAAGTTATAGCGAAGGGTTGGATTTGGCATTTAATTAACCCCGCCGGCGCCGGGATTTTATTCGTTTTAAAAAAGGACGGGAAATTCCGCTTTTGTATCGATTATTAAGGTTTTAATAAGGTTACCAAAAAAAACCGGTTGGCATTTCCGTTAATTTACGAAATATTCGACCGGGTATTTAAAAGCTAGTATTTTACCAAATTGGATTTAAAGAACGTTTATTACAAAATACGGATCCGATAAAAAAACGAATGGAAAATTGCTTTTCGCTGCAAGTATGGACATTACGAATATTTAGTAATACTTTTCGATTTGGCCAACGCCTTAATAACGTTTTAAAGCTTTATTAATATAACGTTTGGGAAATTAATTAATAATAATTGCATTGTATATTTAAATAATATCCTTATTTTTTCGAAAACATAAAAAAAGCACCGCAAAGCAGTAAAAACGGTATTGAAACGATTCGAACGGTTTAAACTTTACGTTAACCCGGCCAAATGCAAATTTAAAACGGATAATATCGATTTTTTAGGGTTTAGGATAACCAAATTTAGGGTTAAAATCTTGCCGGACAAAGTTATTGCAATTTTAAAGTAAAGGATACCGGAAAGCGTTAAAAATATCCAGGTATTCCTGGGCTTTACGGGGTATTATTGGAAATTTGTAAAAGGTTACGCAAAAATTATTGTACTTTTAACGGACCTTTTTAGCAAAAATACCGTATTTTATTTAAAAAATGTTGCAAAAAAGGCTTTTTGCAAATTAAAGCTGCTATTTACGAAAATTCCGGTATTAATGCATTTCGACCTTTCGAAATTGTTGTGCGTACGGACCGACGCTTTGGTTTTTGCGATAAAGGCGGTGCTGCTACAATTGCAAAACGGCCGGTAGCACCCGGTAGCTTATATATTAAAAAAGCTACGATAAAAAAAATTGCGCTATGCGATTTTTAATTTAAAATTGTTAACGATCGTAAAAGCTTTCGAAAAATAGCGGCATTATTTGGTTTATTTATAAAAAATTGTTAAAATAATTACTAACCATTTAAATTATACCCATATTTTAATAAAAAAAAAGTAATAAAGCGCTAAATAAAATGGTTTAAAAATTTAGCAAAGTACGATTTTACGATTAAATGGAAGCCAGGATACCGAAACCCCGCGAATAATTTGTTAAAACGTTTTTAAAACGTACCCGTAAACGGGGAAATTAACAAAGCAAAAAAAGAATTTCGAAGCGATTTGCTAGCCAAATTCCAAAAAGCAACTTACGTAAGGACGATTACCATTAAAAAGGATATTAAAACGATATTAAAGCGCATTTTTAAAGTACAAGCAAAAAACGATTTCGTTTAAAACGGTATTTAAAAAAATAAGCCCAACGTTTGGAAAATTAGCAACGGTTTGTTTAAGCACAAAAAAAAAATTTGGGTTTTAAATTTAGCACCGTTTAAACGAACAATGCTTTGGGAATAATACAATAGCCCAACGGGGGGTTACAAAAGCATAGCCAAAATTTTAAAAAAGTTTAAACAATAATTTAAATAGCCGGGTATGGCTAAAAACGTACGCAAATACGTACGGACGTATTAAATATGCCAATAAACGAAATTAAAAATACAAGCACTTTACGGGCTGCTAGCATTTTTGCCCGTACCAAACCGCCCGGGACAAAAGCTATCGATGGATTTTATTAAAAAGCTTTTAATGTTAATGGATAAAGCCGGCAAAAAGCGTAACGCAATATTGGTAATGGTTGACCGGTTTACCAAATATAGCTTTTTTATCCCAACGTTTACGAAATTAACCAATAAAAAATTAAAAAAAATTTTGTTTGCATACGTTTGGGGGCTATTAGGAACGCCCGAAAAAATTGTATCGAACCGGAACAAGCTATTTACAAACGGGTTTTAAATAACTTTCGCCGGACATTTAAAAATTGCAAAAAGGCTATCGATAGCATATTACTTTTAAACCGACGGGCAAACGGAACGGACAAACCAAATAATAAAGCATTACTTTCGGTGCTTTTGTTGCGAAAGGCAAAACGATTGGGCATTATTGTTGTATTTGGCAGCGTAAATGCACAATACGAACGTACATTTGGGGTTGCAAAAAACCTTGGCGTTTTTATTAATAGGGTTTTATTTACGAAAGCTTTATAATTTTCGGGTAATTAAAAAAAAACCTTTAACAACGGCTAAAATTAAAGCGGGGGCTTTAAAAGCAATTAGGAAACAAACCAAAAAATTATTAAAAAAAGCAAATAATATGTACAAAAAGTATTATAATAAAAGCAAAACCCCGGTGCTTTTCGGGGTAAGCGATTGGGTGCTGCTAAATACGGTAAATATTAAAATAAAAAGGCCGTTAAAAAAATTGTCGAACAAATGGTTGGGACCTTTTTAAATCCTAAAAATGGTTGGGTTAGCCGGTTTAGCGTTCCGGTTAAGGCTTTTGGTAAATTACCGAATATACGACGTATTTCCGGCAAATTTATTGCGGGCGTTTAAAAAAAAGGCCCGGCAAAAAACCAAAAAATAAAAAACCAAAAATCGAAAAAAAAAAAGGATCGTTTTAAAGTAAAGGCTTTGTTAGGATATAAAAAGCTTTTGCGGAAACGAAAATACTTAATTAAATGGATAAATTACGATAAATTAAAAAATTTGTAAATTCCAAAAAGGGATATTACGAAAAAAATTGTTTAAACGTATAAAGCAAATTTATTAAAAGCAAATTTATAAAATAAGGAAAATACCGAATTTTAACGGGTAAATACCCGGAAAGGACGGGGGTATTATAAAAAAAAAATAATAAAAGCCAAAAAAATGGCCCAAAAAAAATGTTTTAAACGTGCCGAACCGGTTAACCACCGGAAAAAAAACGTA